GGGGCCTGGGTTCTGAAGAAAACACCACGGTGGCCATGGACTTGGGCCCCCCTCTACTCCCCAGGAAGAGCCTACCTGCTCCCGGGCCCTGGAGCAGGTGGCCAATCGGTTGAGCAGCAAAGTGACTGCAGAGGTTTCTCATGGCAGCAAGCAAGAGCTGCCGGACCTCAAGGCCCAGAGCCTGACCACCTGCGAGGACTGTGGTGCCTGCTTTGAGACATGCAAGGGCCTGTCCAGCCATGCGCTCTCCCACCTGCAGCAGCTGGGTGTGGCTGAGTCTGAGAGCAGCGGTGCCCCCATCGACCTCCTCTACGAGCTCGTGAAGCAGAAGGGCCTGCCTGACACACCCCTTGGGCTGCCCCCGGGCCTGACTAAGAAGTCCAGCTCCCCGAAGGAGGTGGTCGCTGGGGCCCCCCGACAGAGCCTGCTCACCCTGGCCAAGCCCCTGGACGCCCCTGCTATCAACAAGGCCATCAAGTCGCCTCCTGGCTTCTCAGCCAAGGGCCTGGCTCACCCGCCCAGCTCCCCACTCCTCAAGAAGGCACCACTGGCCCTGGCAGGCTCCCCTATCCCCAAGAATCCTGAGGTCAGGAGCCCCCAGCTGTCCCTGAGCTCCCAGCCGGCCTCCCCAAAGGCACAGTGGCCTCAGTCTGAGGACGAGGGGCCCCTGAACCTCACTTTAGATAGTGACTGGGGCAGAGAGCTGGACTGCCAGCTGTGCAGTGCCTGGTTTGAGACCCGCAAGGGCCTGTCCAGCCAGGCCCACACCCACCTGCGCCACCTGGGCGTCAGTGACCAGATGCCAAGGGATCCCCCATAGATGTGCTCCACAGGCTCATCAGGAGGGTCGGCATCCAGAATTGCCTCCCACCCGGGCGCAGCGTGCTGGCCCAGCTGGGGTGGCCTCCTCCCACCTCCACGGCCCTCTCCTTGTTCCCCTCTCCACCACTGGCCAAGAAGGCCAAGCTGAAGGCTTTGGGTATGGCCAGCCCCTGGGGGAAGCAGGACCTCTCGGCCGCCGCAGCCGCTGGCATTTTCTGGGCCTCTGATGTGGAGCCGTCTCCTCTCAACCTCTCCTCAGGCCCAGAACCAGTCCGGGATATCCGCTGTGAGTTCTGTGATGAGTTCTTCGAGAACCGAAAGGGTCTTTCCAGCCACGCACGCTCCCACTTGCGGCAGATGGCTGTAACTGAGTGGTATGTCAACGGCTCGCCCATCGACACACTGCGGGAGATCCTCAAGAGGCGGACTCAGTCCTGGCCTGGAGGACCCCTCAATCCACCAGAACCTAGTCCAAAAGCCTTGGCCAAGGTGGTGGGCAGCCGAGGTCTTGGCAGCTCGCTGGAAGCCCGCAGCCCTGCAGACCTTCACCTCTTGCCCCTGTCCAAGAAGTTGCCACCACCACCAGGCAGCCCCCTGGGCCACTCACCAACTGCTTCTCCTCCTCCCATGGCCTGAAAGATGTTCTCAGGCCTGACTGCACCCTCCCTGACCAAGAAGCTGAAGCCCGAACAAATGCATGTGGAGATCAAGCATGAGATGCTGCCAGGGGTCCTTCATGGGGAGCTACACCCGTCTGAGGGTCCCTGGGTGGCGCCACGGGAAGACATGGCCCCCTGAACCTGTCATCACTGTCAGAGCCAGTGCATGACATCTGCTGTGAGTTCTGTGGTGAGTTCTTTGAGAACCGAAAAGGTCTGTCCAGCCACGCACGCTCCCACCTGGCGACAGATGGGTGTGACTGAGTGGTCTGTCAATGGCTCACCCATCGACATGCTTCGGGAGATCCTTAAGAAGTCTAAGCCGTGCCTCATCAAGAAGGAGCCTCCAGCTGGAGACCTGGCCCCTGCCTTGGTTGAGGATGGGCCCCCTACAGCAGTTCCTGGGTCTGTGCAGCCCCTCCTGCCGCTGGTGCCAATGGCTGGCCGGCCAGGCAAACCAGGAGCTGGGCTGGCCCAGGTACCCCGTGAGCTCAACCTGGCACCCATCACCGGTGCCAAGCCCTCAGCCACCAGCTACCTGGGCTCAGTGGCAGCCAAGCGACCCCTGCAGGAGGATCGCTTCCTCTCTGCAGAGGTCAAGGCCAAGACCTACATCCAGACTGAACTGCCCTTCAAGGCAAAGACCCTTCACGAGAAGACCTCCCACTCCTGTAAGCAGTGGGTGGCAGGGTCTTGGGAGGGCATCTGCCAGGGCCTGCATGGCCGGGCACTGCCACACGCATGCCCACCCCCAGCAGGGTGAGTGAGTGCAAGCACCGGCCCCAGAAGGTGGGACTTACCGCAGCTACATCCAGGGTGGCCGCCCCTTCACCAAGAAGTTCCGAAACGCCGCTGATGGCCGCGAGAGCGACAAGCGGCCACACCTGGGGCTGGCACCTGGGGGCCTGTCCGTGGTGGGCCGCAGTGCTGGGGGTGAGCCAGGGCCAGAGGCTGGCCGGGCAGCCGACAGTGGTGAGCGGCCTTTGGCAGCCAGCCCACCAGGCACTGTGAAAGCCGAGGAGCACCAGCGGCAGAACATCAACAGTGAGTGTTGGGGGCAGAGGGTCGTGAGGGCGATGGACACCAGCGGGGTCCATCACTGTTCCCCCAGGTTTTCAGCTGTGCATCTGTCTTGGAGTCACTTCCTCAGTTGCTCACCCATTCATTTATCCATCCGCCATCCCACCTGTCACCAGGGCCGGGCAGCATCCAGGCACCAGCTGCCCGTCTTACAAATCCCCACAGTAATCGCTCATCACTTGCTGAAGGAGGAACCTCCCCAGGGTCCTCATCCTCCAGCTTACCTCCCATCCCTCTCCTCCCCATTCTTCAGAATTTGAGCGCCGACAAGCCCGCCCTGCAGATACCTCTGCGGCCAGGGGGGGCGAGGAGGCCAATGACCTGCAGCAGAAGCTGGAGGAGGTGCGGCAACCCCCACCCCGGGTCCGGCCAGTCCCCTCCTTGGTGCCTCGTCCCCCCCAGACATCACTGGTTAAGTTCGTCGGCAACATCTATACCCTCAAGTGCAGGTTCTGTGAGGTGGAATTCCAGGGACCTCTTTCCATCCAGGAGGAGTGGGTGCGGCACTTACAGCGGCACATTCTGGAGATGAATTTCTCCAAAGCAAACCCCCCACCTGAGGAGCCCCAGGCCCCTCCAGCACAGACAGCGGCGGCAGAGGCACCCTAACACAAAAGCATTCCAGATCTCTCTCCTGCCACCTCTGTCTCCTACTCCTTGGTCTCCTCCTCTCTCTCCTCCTTCTTTCTTTTCCGTTCCCAAAGGAGCAAGCCAAAACCTCAAACCGGCACCCTTGGGGGCCAGGCACACTACAGCCAGGGCGCCCCTCCCCCAGCTCAAGGACTCTGGGGCCAAACCCAGGGTGTGTTCCTTCAGGCCACACCTACCCAATCCAGTCAGGGCAGAGGCCAGGTCCCTGGTGGCAGGTGATCTGGTCATGGGAGGAAGCCCAGCACTCCCCAATGTCTAGCAGCTAGGTGGGGCTTTGTTTGCCATCTGTGGCCATTTACAAGGACCCCAAAGACCCCCTGTACTGGTTCCCTCTTGCCCCGTGAATATCCTCTCACACACATGTGAACACACACACACACACACACACACACACACGCAAGCACGCACACACCTTGTGAGTCCCCAGATCTGCCCCAGCCCCCCAGTTCCCAAGTCAAACGAACACATCATACCACGGTGCTTGCTCAGGGGAAAGTATGCTCCCTCTGCTGGCCCACTGAGGCCTGGGAGCCCCCACTGAGCCCACAATGCCACTGAAATCCTTGTTGGCCGCCCCCCTCCCCCAGAGGGGCCTTCCCAGCTGGGAAGAACTCAGAGCTGACAGCTGCCTCCTGTCATGTCCAGGCCCCCCAGAACCTCTGGGGGCTCTGGGCCCTGGAAGGGGTGGGGTGGGACTTTCCTCCCCACTCCTATCCCCTCCCTCTTTTCACTGTTCCTTTCTATGTACAGCTCCTTAGACCTTTCACTTTTTTAAAAACGCATTTTGTGTAGAGAATAAGGAACGTGGATCTTTTTATTTTGCGATCCTGGGCCAGCTAGAAACTGGGAGCTGATCAATCTTTTAACTTTTTTCAGTGGCCACATTTTGGTTATCAATGTACCTAGAAGTATGTAAATTAGATTAAATTTCTCTTCTGGAAATACCCCGGGGCAGGCGGCCAGCGTGTGTTTTTCTGTCAAGTGGACAGGCTGGCATCAGTTACCAATGAGATCAAAGAAGAAATTGAAAACATCCTGGAAACGAATGACAATGAAAACAGAACAATCCAAAGTCTCTGGGACACAGTGAAAGCAGTCATGAGAGCGAAGTATATAGCTCTACAGGCCTACCTCAAAAAAATGGTAATAAATCATCTAACTCTACAACTTAAAGAATTAGAAAGAGAGCAACAAAAAAGCCCAGAGTGAGCAGAAAGGAGATAATAATGATCAGAGAAGAAATAAATGACACAGAGACAAAAAAATCAATAAAAAGAAGAGCTGGTTCTTTGAAAGGATAAACAAGATTGATGAACCTCTAGCCAGGCTTACCAAGAAGCAAAGAGAGAGGACCCAAATAAACAAAATCATAAATGAAAGAGTTGAAATAACAACAGACCCCACAGAAATAAAAAAGGATTCTAAAAAAAAATACTATGAACATCTTTATTCTAAAAAACTAGACAACTTAGAGGAAATGGAGATATTCCTATAAAAATACAAGCTCCCAAAACTCAATCGAGAAGAAGAAAAAAATCTGAATAGGCATATAACTACTGAAGAAATTGAAACAGCAATCAAAAATCTTTGAGCAAACATAAACCCTGGTCCAGACGGCTTTACAGGGGAGATCTACCAAGCATTCAAAGAAGACCTAAAACCTATCCTCCTCAGACTATTCCAAAAAATTCAAGAGAAAGGCACACTTCCAAGCTCTTTCTATGAAGCCAGCATTATCCTAATCCCAAAACCAGATAAAGACACCACAAAAAAATAGAATTACAGGCCAATATCCTAGATAAACATGTATGCTAAATTCCTCAACTAAACTCTAGCAAATCAGATTCAGCATTACATTAGAAAGATCATACACCATGACCAAGTGGGATTTATTCCAGGCATACAAGGATGGTACAATATCCGCAAATCAATAAATGTGATACATCACATAAACAAACTGAGAGATAAAAATCACATAATCATATAAATCGATGCAGAAAAAAGCATTTGACAAAATCCAACATGCTTTCTCTTTTTTTTAAATATCCTTGATGAACATCAATGCTAAAATCCTCAACAAAATTCTAGCACATCAGATTCACCATTATAAAGATCATACACCATGACCAAGTGGGATTTATTATGGGGTGCAAGGATGGTACACTATCTGCAAATCAATAAAAGTGATACATCACATAAGCAAATTGAGAGACGATAAAAAACTAATCATATAAATCGATGCAGAAAAAAGCATTTGACAAAATCCAACATGCTTTCTCTTTTTTTTAATGTATTTTATTGTTTTTTTCACAGAGAAGAAGGGAGAGGGAATAGAGAGCTAGAAACATCGATGAGAGAGAAACATCGATCAGCTGCCTCCTGCACACCCCCCACT